GAAAGATGCTATCTAAAACAGATAACTATATATAAAAATCATAAACAATGACACTAGTATCAACATCTGTTCTGAACTACAAAATTTTTTAAAAATAATATAGATAGGCAACTGGCATAAATAAAAATTTAGAAACAGAAAAGAAAAATAATTTGCTAAAGAAAATGATTCTAAGAAAAAGTAGGACAGAATTAAAAAAAAAAAGAGGTGGTCGGGAATGGCTAAGTAGGACATATGTTTCAGGCAAAACTCAAGTTACCTGGATTGTCAGTGATGTTCATTCTTATGTTCTCCAGTTCTTAGCTATGTAAATTCTACATTATTATTTTGCAGAGTGAATTTCTGCAAGACCTGAATTATTCTGAAAGGATATTTGATAGGGTAATGGAATTTATTGCAGGAACATATTTACTTAAACTACATTAGCACAGTGGTAGAGTGTTTGCCTTGCAAGCTGCTGGCCCGGTCGAGCCGGGTTCAATTCTTGCGCCCCTCTCAGAGACCCCAGCAAGCTACTGAGAGCATTTCGCCTGCATGACAAAGTCTGGCAAACTACCTGTGACGTATTTGATATGCCAAACACAGTAACAACAAGTCTCACAATGGAGATGTTACTGGGCCTGCTCGAGCAAACCGATGAGCAATGGGAGGACAGTGCTAAAGAACAGTGCTACAGTGCTACATTAGCCCAAGCAATAAGTAGGAAAAAAATCCCCCAACGTATGTGTTTGTTGGTGAGTAAGAGGATGTTCCAGAATAATTATGAAAAAGAACATTCAATCATATGAAGCATAAATATAATCATAACTTTAATGTTTTCTCATTGACAGCCAAGAGATTCATTCTCCACTTTGCTTTGCTCTGTATTTTTATTATTATGACAGAAATATGAACATACTGGAATACTTTTCTAAAGAAATATTTGAAAGATTTTACTGCTTGTCTTTCATGTGTTGTATTTATTTGGTATGAAAATTTATCTGTAAAAGTAGGCATGAATAAAATGAAGGGCATTTCAATATTAAATCAGACAGGAAACTATCATCAAAGCTCTTTTGTCTTGGAATAATATTGTGGATATTTATATTTATGTAATCCAAGAGGTAAGAAGAAAAAAACTTTTGCAAAAAAATGTTTGAAATTTAACCTGTTATACAGCTAGGAGTGACCCCTAAGCTCCTAGCCAAGGAGAAAACCTTGAGCCAAGTTGGTTGAGGTAGAGCAACAAAACTAAACAAGACAAAGTTAACCTGCAGGTGCATTTAAAAACCATTCCAATTCTGTAGCAATCATTTTAGGAGTGGAAAAATAAAATTACAAAGAAAGGACATTTAATTATTTAATAGGGTCAATGTCAAAATTGCATATTCAATGCTTAAGGCGATGGGTATAATAAAGGGAGTCAATAAGGAGCTTTTTTGTTTGGTTTAGAGCAGTACCTACCCGTGCTCAGGGATCACCCTTGGCTGTGCTTAGGAGATCATTCAGAGTGCCAGGGACCGAATCATTGTGGCTTCTGTGCAAGGCAAGTGCCTAAGCCCCCCCTCCCCCCCCCCCCCCCCGGAACTATCTGTCTGATTCCAAGAGTAAGGTCTTTGCTACAATGATTTACATAATAGTAGGCCTCATCTCATGCTGGCATGCCATGCTAATATAAGTAGACAAAACTGATCCAATGGGATGTGATTTAATGGCAGTAGTAATGGGTAACATAGAAAGGGGAATGGCGGTGAATGTATTTCTCCAAAACCTTCCCTTTATACTTTTTCATGCCCTCTTAATTGATGAAAAAAAATGTCAACCTATGGATTCTTTTCAATGATTTCAAAGTTTGAAATTTCAACAGCCCCACTCTATAGACTCATGACTCAATCTTCAAGGAAATACAAGCCAAATAGCTACTATTCATGGACACACCAGGACTTAAGAACCCTGTGGTGAGATGTAACAATTTTCACATAAAAAACTGATTTTTAAACATATCAATTTTATTATTGGAATTCTAGTATCTAATTTCAACACTAGCATTATTATCAATAGGTGTATGGTTTTTTCTACATTAAAAATAAATAAGTTTTTAAAAAGTGATCTGAAATAATAAGCAGGATGTCTGTGATTGAAAATTTGCTTTTCAGTTTCTGTCTGAGGCTTGATTTCCACATTGACAATTCTTGTCTGTGGTGGATGTTCACCAAGAAAGCCTGAGATGCCACTTTATCAAAAGACACTTTCACTATTGCCTAAAAATATCTTAATGTAAAATCATTATTTGCATTTCAATGTATTTTGGTCTGCTATTAAAAAGATTTTATTGGTAATACATTTAAATCAAAGATTAAAAATGTTATTTGAAGTTTATTCAGTCACACACCACAGTTTGTATCGAGTTTCTATGTGTCTCAATCTAATATGTTAAATGTTAGGATAAAATAGAACTAATGTTTCATTTCTCTTATGTACAAAATATAAATAAAAGATTTTTCCTGCTTATTTTGCTTTGGTGTTTAAGTACATGTATACACATGGTGGCATGCATGTACTATTAATGGTAGTAGTTATAGTTGAGGAAGGAAACGAGTAAGATTAGAGATTTTGCCTTTTATGTTTATAGCACTAGATAATAGACAAAACACTTGGAAAATTCATTATTAATTTATGATAAAAATAAGCCAAATAAATAAATAGGATAGAAGAAACATATCCCAACGTAATAAAGGGCACATACTATAAACCCACAGTTGATAGTGGTGAAAAGATGAAAGCTTTTACTTTAAGATAGGAAGCAAACAAGGCTGTCCATTCTTTCTGCTTCTATACATTTTGGTATTATATCTTATAAAAGCAGTGAGATGATAACAAGAATAAAAACTACTCTGAATCGGAAAAAGGCAAAAGTTACTAATTTTAGATGATATAATAATAGAAGAATGTAAGAACACCACCATAAACTGTTCACATATAAATAAGTACAATAAAGTAGGCAGTCTACAAACTTAATATACAATAATCAGTTTCATTCCTGTAGGCAGTGAATACTAAGGGGAAAATAGTACTATTTATAATTTTATCAAAAGAATTAACTATGTATAAATAAGAAAGTAAAAATAATCTATGGAGTAAAACTTGTAAGACACCATTAGAAGGTGTAGAGAAGATACAGACATGAAAATAAATCCTGTAGTCATGGAAATAAAGACTCAACAGACTTGCAATGGTCACTGTGCTGAAAGCAATATATACAGATTCAATGTGAGTTATATTAAAGTCCAATGATATTTAAAGGAGATAAAAAATGGTGCAAGTTTCATATGGATGCTCAAATAACTAATGTGATATTGAGAGAAAAGAAGAGAAATGGAAGCATAATATTATCTGACTTCAAACTACTTTACAAAGTGACATTGATTCTATCTATAACAGTGCTGCATTGCAATCATGGTGACTTAATAAAAACTGGGGATAAAATAATAAGACTCACAAATCTAGGTAAATCAATTGAGAACCCCAAAATAAACCCACACGTATAACAAAATCCAATCTATAAAAAGGGTCATGCCTATAGACAAAGGAAAATCTTGTTTTGTTGTTTGTTTTTGTTTTTGGGCCACCTCCGTCAGTGCTCAGGGCTTACTGCTGACTCTACATTCAGGGATCACTCATGGCATGCTTAGGCTTCCATACGAGTTGCTGGGGATCAAATCCAGGTTGACTGCACCCAAGACAAGCACCCTACTCTCTTTTCTATTATACTAGCATCAAAAAATATTTTTAACAAATAGTATTAAAAAACTAGATAACCATGTGGAAAAAAATATTAAACCAATTCAGTCTTCATATACAAAAATAAATTCAATACAACCTGGATAAAATACCTTAAGTCACAAAATACATAGAAAGAAATACAGGTTTTACATTTCATAATATCAGCATTACAAATTTCTTAGGGCATCTAAATCTGACCTAAGGAGCAAAGGAATGAAAATAAGAAAAAACAAATACGACTACATCAAATTTCATTCTGTTCAGCAAAAGAAAGTATAAAGTCTACTGAAAGGGAAAATATATTTGCACACTGCACATTCAATAAGGGGTTAATATCCAAGGTATATATATATATATATATATATATATATATTAAAGATACATCAAAGTGATGAGCAACAAGTGTTGTCAATGGTGTGTGGGAAATGGAACCTTTGTTCACTGTTAGCAAGAATGGAAAATGGTATTACCTCTACAAAAAAAGCAGTATGCAGCTTCCTGAAAACAAAACAAACCAAAATCCTGAAAATAGAAGTATCAGATATACAGCAATCCCACTTCTTGATAGTGAGCAGAAGAGTGTGAAATCACTAACTTGGAGTTTCACACTATCAGTTTATCCCAGCATTATATATAGTAGCTGTCACTGTCACTGTCACTGTCCTCCCCGTTGTTCATTGAGTTGCTCAAGCGGGCCCAGTAACGTCTCCATTGTGAGACTTCTTGTTACTGTGTTTGGCATATCAAATACGTCACCGGGAGCTTGCCAGGCTTTGTTGTGCTGGGGAGATACTCTCAGTAGCTTGCTGGGCTCTCCGAGAGGGAAGGAGGAATCGAACCCAGGTCAGCCTGTTGGCCACGTGCAAGGCAAACGCCCTACCCGCTGTGCTACTGCTCTAAAGTAGCTATGATATATTAAAAACCTCGTGTCCAATTAAAGATGCTGGAGAAATATGATGCACATTTCTAGAATACAAGTTAGCTATGAAGCAAGAAATTTTTCCATGTGCTACAAAATGGAAGAAACTTGAAGAGATTAGGCAAAGTCAAGTAAATCAGAAGGAGAAAAATAAACATGCTAGATGATTTCACTTATCTATGCAAGATATGGTAAATTAGTGAGAGCAACAAAATGATCTCTAAGGAATCGCACATACCAGAACATCAGTCTTTTCTCATCGGTTAGAAAACCTCAGGCCTCAAATCAACAAAACATATCCTAGTCCCATGGGTCTTACCTCCTGTGAGCATGAGGGCACATTTGCACATACAGTTGTCGTTATCAGCATCCTTCGTGCTGAAGTCAGCGCCGTGTAAGATGAGGCTGCTCTGCTTCCCTGCTGTCCCCGTGTGGCCCTTTAAATACAACCTGGAGTGGGGAAAACAGCCATTCAGTGGTAGAATCACAGAATCCAGAGGGCCAGTTTGTTGAATGTTTGTCTATTTTGTGGGCATTGTCTCACGTCTATGTGTGTATGGGGGGAGGGGGAGGGGGGAGGAGGAAGGGAGATGGAGGGGAGAAAGAGAATAGGAGAAGAGGGGGGCAGAGAAAGAGGGGGATGAAGAAAAAGGACAAAATTACAGACACAGATGTATACTTCCTTTATGGTTATATATTCAATGTTTATTTCACATACAAACATGTCTCGATGTCCCATTATTAGCTTTTGATATTCAATCTAATTTTATCAAATAATAGCACTACTGTATGCCTTACCAAATAGTCTTACAAATATTTGCAGTCTTTTTTGAGCCAGAGCAAGATTCAAGTTTTGGAAATGATTGCTGGACTAGAGCCATTACTGACTGGATTCCACGGGATGTCAAAATTCGCGTGGCTGCCCACCTCTGAGATGGTTAGACTTCTTCGTCAAGACCCTGAAGGATCAGTTTGAGGCTCTTCGTGTTCCTAAAATGAGCAGTCGCTGTTGGGCTACACTAGCACGCGACAGGGATGAATGGAGCTATTACTGGTGCCAGCTTGAGCAAATCAATGAGTAACGGAATGTCAAGTGATCAAGTGGGTACATTAATTGCAGTGATTTAAAAATAGAAGGGGACTGTGGGTAGAATGGGCAAAGCTGGTCAACCATACAAACCTCCAAATACAAAATGGTCCTAATAACCATAGGATGGTGACCAGTTATAATATTTAGAAGTTGCTATGAGAGTAGTAATGAAAGTTCTCACTCCAAGAAAACATTATATATAATAATGACATTAATTAGACTTTGTAGACTTTGTAGTGATCATATCTTATATATGCATGTGTGTATAAACACACACAACGCTATATATAGTACATCTAAAACTAATATGCTATATGTCATTTATGTTTCAATTAAAGTAAAAATGTCAGATATTTTGAGGGATAGTGGATATTCACTGTAGAATAGACTATTCCTTCTATGTCTATATCCTTAACATGACATACAGGAGCAATTATGTTCTTTCTAAGTAAAGAAGCCCCTAAGACAACTATTCTCTTTCACTCAAAACAGTTGGAATCATGGGAAAAAAATCTTAATGCTTTAATAATTTTATAAATGAGAAGAACTAGTATTTTATGAGATTCCAAATGATTCTTGGAACTACTGTGTGGCAAAGGAAAGGTTCTGTGTGTGCACAGGTAAGAAGCTTATTTTTTATAGCACATACTTAGCTAGCACAGAATAGCAATTATTAAACCAAAGCAAATGCTATGGTTGATTATTTGATAAAGATAAACTAGAGGCTAAACATACATTCATGCCAAGTATTTCCTCCCCCCCTGCTTGCTGATTAGAGAAGAAAATGTATATTAGTTGAGGCTATTCGGTAGATATGTTAAAACTGGTTGTGAGTAACATCTAAAGTCCTTATAAATAAATAACTATCCCCAACTTTCTGTAATGTCAAATGCAGCTGTAGTGTTATAAAAGTCAACAATCAGAGGAAACCAAATTGGTTCAGGTGAAAAGAAGCTAAGTGTGAATCATTTTGGGAAGAATACTTCTTCCTAAATAATGCCTGGGGCTTGAGTGATAGTAGAGCAGGTTAGGGCGCTTGCCTTACATGTGACCAACCCGGATTCAATCCCCAGCATGCCTTATGGTACCCTAGTCTGTCAGGAGTAATTCCTGAGTGCAAACCCAGGAGTAACCTTGAGCACTCCTGAGTATGGCTCAAATACAAAAACAAAATAAAAATATATTTTTTAATTTTTCTCTCTTTTTTTTTGTCTTTTTGGATCACACCTGGCAAGGCGATGCTCAGGTCTTACTCCTGGCTAGGCACACAGGAATTACTCCTGATGGTGCACAAGGGACTATATGGCATTCTAGGGATTGAACCCATGTCAGCTGCATGTAAGCCCATGTAAGCTGCATGTAAGCCTTACCAGCTGTAATATTGCTCTGACCCCTTTATTTATTTAATTTATTTTATTTTTTGGTCTTTTTGAGTCATACCTAGTAAAATAAAAATATACCATGTGACTCCTGAATATTATTTTCTTGTGTTAGTAGAAGTTGCTTATTAGAGGAGAATATGTAGGAGGTAAAATCAAATAATATTCTAGAGCAAAGTATTTGGTTTTGGGGAAAAGTACTTAAAAATTACAAAAATAAAAGTAGCAAAAATACAACACTTAGTAAAAAGTATCTTCAAATGATTTTGACATATATGGCATATGGCCCTCCCGTTGATCATCGATTTGCTCGAGCGGGCCCAAGTTACATCTCCATTGGAGACTTTGTTGTTACTGTGTCTGGCATATTGAATACGTCACGGGGAGCTTGCCAGGCTCTGCTGTGCGGGCGAGATACTCTCAGTAGCTTGCCGGGCTCTCCGAGAGGGGCCACAAATCAAAACTGCAGTATCCATTATTTAAACCCACTTTTTTTCCTACAAGGGAGAAAAATTATGACTCCCATATGGTCAATGGTGTCATCCTTTTTATTTTTTCAATTAACATTTTAAGAGAAATCGAAACAGACATGTAATTTGTTGTGATTATTTAACTATCCTTGATAAAAATACAGCCATATCTTGTATTTCACTTAAGGATATTTCAATATTTAAAACAAATATTTCTTGATGTCTATAGTTCTATTATTAAAGAAAAGAATCCAATCTATACCTACAACTTTAAAGGCAACTTTGAGCATTTTTTTGGCTTTTGGGGGACCACAACCTGTGGTGTTCAGAGATAATCCCAGTTCTGTGTTGGGGGTTGCTCTCTCTGGTGCTTGGGGAACCATGTGGTACTTGGACCTGAAGCTATATCTCCCACATGCAAAGCATGTGCTTAATCCATTGAGCTAAGCACATGAGTCAAACTTTCTTAAGAGCAAACAAAAATGAAGTTTAGTAATAACAGATATAATTTTCTGTCTGTATGGGTACAAGATTAACAACAAAATGGCTTTAGTCAATTTTTCTTTAAAATAGACCAATCTCATGCATTGTTTATGACACATTTTGTCTCCTTCGAAGACTGACATAATTCTCACAATTTTACATATTTGGTGTTTTCGAGGGGATGGCAAAAAAACTCCTTATCCAGGGCAGTGAGAGTTATATGTATAAGAAACTGAAGTTTAGCACTGGCCCTTTTAAACAGTAGACAGACTCTCAGATAGTTGAACTCTAAGATCTTACATAGCAAGTTGAGGCCTGCCTCCCTCCCTTCTTCCCTCTTTTCCTTCCTTCTCTGTGCTCTTTCTCCCATCATATGGAATTACTTTGTTTACCTCATACTCACTTGAAAAAAATGCAAAATGACCCCCCATGGTTCTCTTTCAGAACCCTGCACAATGACTCAATCTGACAGTTTTAAAACAGCAAAGTTCTATCCCCTGGTTGCTATTTCAAGTTATCTTTCCTGTAACCATCCTCCCTGACCCCACCCCGCCCTGTTGAAAGAGAAGGCACTAGCAAAAAGGGCTAGCAAAGCCCAGGCAGGAGATTGACACCACTCAAAAGTTTTACAGAAAGGACTATTTTTGAGACTATGCAGGCATATATTCTTGGAGACAGATGAGGAGGATGTTTTCAATAAAAAGGATTATGAAATTCATAGCAGGTAAGTTTTTAGGTTATCTAAAATAGGGATGAGGAAAGGGGGCACCATCAGTCTTCTGAATATATTAGAAGGGTCAAGGAAAAAGGTAAATGCTGAACATATTTATTTAGTTAGCATTTTGGTTAGATTTTAATTTTATTTTTATTAGTATTTGAAGCTTGAATTTTTTTTCATAAAATTCTTCAAAAATCACTAGAGTTCTAAGTAGAAATTTAAAAAGGAACAGTCTTTAGGAAAAAGAAAGAATATAAATTGAGCCCTATAATGACTTTGCTAATAAAGTAGAAGTTTAGGGGGCTGGAGCGATAGCACAGCGGTAGGGCGTTCGCCTTACAAGCGGCCAACATGGCTGACCCGAGTTCGATTCCTCCGCCCCTCTTGGAGAACCCAGCAAGCTACCGAGAGTATTCGATATGCCAAACACAGTAACAACAAAGTCTCCAATGGATACGTTACTGGGCCCGCTCGAGCAAATTGACGATCAACAGGAGGGCCTTTACCTTTACCTTACCTTATCTCCAGCTAAGTAATATTTTCTTATTTTTCCAAGTCATTTGCAATAATACCTTTTTTTTTTGTGAAACTACATCTTTAAGATATTTTATTTTCTTCAGATTAGAATTGTACAAGTGTAACTTGTGCTGATTAATGAATGACTAGTGCTATTAAGATCCAAGACTTTCTCCAAATTTTTGCAAGTCAAAAATCACACTTCCCCATGGTCTACCCAGATGTTATGCAGAACATTTGTCTCTTCATTATCCTCTGTCATTCACAGTAAATTGCTTCTTTCATGGATCAACATAATCGTCCCTTTACCTATCATAATGTTATTTATCTATGTGCCTTTTCTTCCTCATCAAACTCTAAGCATCTAATAGAAATACAAATTGCTCAGCATCTTTGTATACTCCATACAGTACATTCAGCCCAACCAGTAAGTAATTTTAGCCAAGTTGACTATAAACTGAGTTCAAACTGTTTATAATTTAAGTTTTATCTTCTCAATATATTCTTTAGATGTCATAATTTTAACCCTGATGAAATGTATTTTACATAATTATGTAATTCCAGTACCATAACTTTTTTTTTCTGATTTCAAATATTATACAAACTGAGTTAAGTGCTATAATGGAGTTTGTGGCTCCCAACAGACCTCTGAAGAAATAGATCTTGGAATAATAACCCAAGACTAAGTGCTAGATAGTAAGTATTTACTTAATAAGAACTAGAGTGTCCCATGAGAAATAAGACCATCAAATTGTACAAAGGAACTTCTACTCAAACATGTATATGTCCTTTCC